GAGATGCAACTCGGAAGAGGGAGACGGAGAGGATGCCGAATGAACGAAGTTTCGAGAATGAGCGAAGTGCGAACCGGTTAGGACTTAGGGTTTTCGACTTTTCTCTATATATTTAAAAATATTTTATTTTTTTATTTTTTAAAACTCTGTTTTATTATTTATATAAATAATATTGAAATATTATTAATAATAAATTATTATATATTATAATTTATAGGAATTGATTTAATAAAATGTGAAAATATATTATTTAGAAAAATTAAATTAATTATAATTTAAAATTTTTAATTTTATGAATATTAATTATGTAAATATATTAATTTATTTATTTTCGAGCCAATTCGAGCCGAACACGAGCGAACAAACTTTTGTTCGTGTTCGACTCGTTTACATTTCAAACTTAAAAATTTGTTCGCGTTCCGCTCGTTCACGAGCTACTTAACGAACCGAACACGAGCTATTCGCGAACAACGAACCAAATTGACAGCCCTCGCACCAAGCACTAATCTGCCCCCCAAACGGCCCTTAGTCGTACGTGTATGGTACGCAAATTTTTTCCGTAAAACCCTCTGTCGAGTCTCTGCGAAACCCTCATCGCCTTCTTGAACGAACGAACCCACGCGATGCAGTTGCTAGCGTTCGCTGGGAAGGCCTCAAGGGATAGCGGCGTTGCCTAACGAAACTTCCTTCTTCTCTGCGGCTTTATTTTGTCCATAATGACGGCCTGGCAAGATTTGGCCTAAATCCAGGTTAAATCATGGTCTAAATCCTTTGCCAGAGAGCCCCTTCATCTCTTCTTCGTAATTGAAAACGGCGGGAGTTCGGTTTCAGGCAGGTTTTGATGACGATGTTTTGGATGGTTTTCTTGTTTTTCTTGTGGGAGAGTGGAAGACTTGCTTGCAGGTAGCCGTTTTACGCAGTGTGATTAATCAATGGAAAGCGGTCTGCGTGGTGAGCGGAGATTTATGGGAACTTTTCTTGGTCGGTTCGTCCTGCCTCTGCTGCTTTTAGGAGGTATTTGTTCTTCCATGTTTTCCCTCACTTTAAAGCATGGTGTATATAATTTCTGTAAACCCGGGGGCACTTTTTCCCTCTTGTTTTTGTAAGTTAGGTAAGTGCAGACTCTTTATTGGAGATTGCATGATGAAAATGTTGTTGCTTTTGTTTTATCTTTCGGTAAGGTGGTATCATGAAATAACACTTAAATCCAAATAGCACCTTAGTCGAGACAGCTGCAAGGTAAGCACCGAAAAAAAATACTTCAGTTTGCACCATTAAATTTAACAAAATCAAATTAAAAAAATTTGGTAATGTGGTAATGTGGTTTTGGGCTGCTTAGTAGTTGATGAATTTTTAGCTATTACTACCTCATCTGTAAGGATTTTATGCCTGATGTTTATGCACAATAAATCCTTTTCCTACCATATAGAAAAGTTGTGAATTCCTTCATTTTTTTTTTCATACGAGGGGTGAACCTATTGCATTGCGGGCCTTCATTTTGTTGGCTATTTACCATGCCTGCTGCAAGAAACTTGTTGTTCAAGAAATTTTGGATAGCTGCAATTTTCTGTAGAAGTAGCTGTGAAGCTGCTTCATAGATAAACTGTTGTTAAAAAGTTGCTGATGGTGAAGTAGTTTGCTTGTTTGGATGATCTGTTGTGTAACTGCTCTTTTTGAGAAAAAAAGACTTTAATGCTTTTATGTATATTTGTTAGATGCAAGTCCGCAGTTTCATAAATAATTCAAACAAAATAATAAAAATAAAATTTTGTAGTTTAAAAAAGAGTTAACAATCTATTTTTCATACCACATCAAATGTAATATATCACTTAACACATAATAACACGATTTGAAAAATTTCAATAATAATAAATAGTGTTATTATAATATTTTCTTTCATGTCCAAACAATCAAGTCTTTGAGAGAATTTTCTTTCCAAAGCTGTTCTCGAGGCATGATAACTATCCGGAGCAATTTTCTTGCCATTATCAACCCATCTAAAAAATTTGCAATCGCCAGGTGTTGTATTTATAGAACACCTATAAAATCTTCTCCCATAATTAGCTTCTCATCTTGAAGTATACCAAAGCATGACATACAATAGTTTTAATGTAAAATTGTAGAAGCAATTGAAATTCTTGAACTAATATTTCCTGAGAATGCAATGTGTAATGTTTAATTGAAAAATTAGACTACATGTGTGATAGAACAAGTAAAAAAAAAAAAAAAGCTAAAGGCTCAGAGTTAACATAAAGAAGGATATCTTGGTTCCTTGTAAGTTTTTATCGCTAAACTCATGCATGTTGAAAAAAAAGCAGCATACAGACTATCCAAAAGAACCCTTAAAATCATGACTCATCACAGACCTCAAAAAAAAAAAAAAACCAATTGTTCACAGATACCACAAAATATCGAATGCTGCAAATGGAGGCGCCGAACTTTCTGAACTCCAGCAAAATATGGCTAATAAATACATAAATGTATACATGATAACCTCATTCACTCATATTTTGTAAAAGAAAACATCATCATCATGATATAAATATTACATGTTCTTTACCGCCATAACACATTATCAACTCTAAAATTCAAACATAAAAAATATAAGGCTCAAATCATGATGGGAATAACATGTATCAACCAACAATCTTAAATAAATCTTAGCAAAAATCAAGATTCATACCAAAAGACACCTCGAAATGAATCTCAACATACGTTCATCGATGATTTATTTCCTCAATCGATCAATTTAGATATTTGATGCATTCAGTAAAATATCTGTGATTTGTTACTTCAATTGAATCATCTCTGAAACAACTTTCTCATCGGGTGTCTCAAAGGATTGACTCCCAAATATTTCTCTAGCATTGATTGTCCTGTACAATGTTCAAAATCTTCAATAAGTATGCATGTAGGCTCCTCATCCAAGACCCAAAAGTTTTAATCGTCTCAAGATGAATGCTTGGTATAAAGAGCTGATGTGGCTGTAATTATTTTTACTTGCTTTTTGAAGGGATATGTTGACATATGTCGGAGTATGCTTTATTTATTTTTCCATACATCGATTGCATTCTCAAGTATACTCTGTATGATGAGCGTCTCTCGATAAATACTTCATTCTTCTAACATTTTGGTTGCTGTCTTTGAAATCAGAAATGTGATACTTCATATCGGGAAATGACTTTAAAAAATTATCGCATGGAATATTTAGAATTGACAATTTAATATTTTTCTGAATATTTGTAATATTAGGACATCACATTAAGGGTCTGTTTGGGGCAGCTGTTGATTATTTATAATCTGTTGATAAATAAATTATTCTGATAATCTGATAATCTGCATCAAAATAATCTGCCTTACTGTTTGAGGCAGCTTATCCAGAACAACTTATTGGTAGTTATGGATGTAAAAATGACATTTTTGTCCCTGTATGTTAGAACTGTTTGGGACAACTTATTCAGAACAGCTTATTGGTGAAAAAACATAAAATCATCACAGATTAGTTCCATACCATGACATACAATTCTCACACTAGAAAAAAATAAAAACATGATACAAGCTTAATTAATTCAACTACAAAAAAACAGATAAAGAAGACAATATAAAACTCGAAATGTAGGCATTCAAATATCCAAGAAATAATAAGTTCATAGCTTGATGATCCAGATAAACAATACAAATGAGAGCATTTAAAAGCTTAATCATCTAGAATAACACGTAAATATTCCAATCGATCCGCTGGTTCCATCGCCATGAATGTGTCTTAAGAGTTGGACCCTCTAACTTTTTTATAAACAATACGTTGTTGGCCTATTTCCCAATTCTATTTCTTTAATACAGGCTCCTCTCTTTGTGCCCTAACATCTCTTCTCATATTAGCAAATGTTATATATTGAACAAAAAAACCCTCCCAATTGCAGTAGTTTTTGCAAAATATATTTTTCATTTTTCCATCAATAGTGGTGTTTTCAAAACGAAAATGAACAACTGACAATACGGTATATCAAGATGATCATTTTTACTATTTCTTTCATATTTTCTATTATATTTACAGAATGTCAAGCATAAATTGCATACTTAGTATTTCCACATCTTTGAATTTTTAGAAAAGAACTCTATAGTTTTAGTTTTACAATCATTAAGATAAGAGACAATTTCGAAGCCCTAAAAAAATCCATACATACATCCCAGGCAACAAACCAAGACAACGATCTTCTAAAAATAAACGATACCTGAAATATTGCAAAGTATTTCAATGGGTTCACGGGATCGAACAACAGAGACGAGACAGGGGGCTAGGAGCGGCAAGAGGGCGAGACGACAGAGGGGAGACGCAGATCTAGGGCAAGACAAGACGAAATCGAAAGGTGGCGCGAGACGGGGATCGAAGGGGTAGCGGGGTAATAAGTTACTCCGAAACGCTGAAACGCAGGGTGCTATCAGCGGCGAATGATCCATCGGGCAATAGACAAATGCTTTACGCGTTTATTGGCACTGCAGTGACGAATGTGTTTTCCAAACACGACCACTGCGTTTTCAGGACGTCGAACGCAATTTTTTTCTCCCCCAAACGGGACCTAAATTTAATTTTTTATAAGATCTTTAATGTTTTAATCGGGAGACGACATTGAGAACTTGTATTCGCATCTCAGAGTTATAAGTTTGAATTTGAGAATATCACGAGCATTGTCTTTTCGCCCTGCCATTAAGAAGGTAAAGCACATGTTGAAGTCCCTGCTAATATATTTTGTGTTGGGGATCCAAAACGCCTCTTACATGCAATTTTGTCATTGTTGGCGACACGTGCTTCGACATGTGTGCCATCAGTCGTTCTCATATAGTCATGTTTGAAGTATTTATGTTGATAATTGATTTTTAGTAAAATATGCATGCAAATTAATAAGAGAATATAATATCTTCATTTGAAGAATGACTTAAATTTGATATCGTTACGAATTTCTCTTGGCGTACGTCCAAAAATGGGATTAATTGGTTTGACAAAGTTTGTTGACAATCTAACCAACAAGTTAAGTTCAATATCGAAATATCTGCTGATATTCTCAGTCAAGTGTTGAAATCACTCGGAAGTAGCATGCATCTACTCATAATGTCACATTATATATAAAGTAATTATTAGTACTTCCATAGGAGTATATCCTAACGATTTATGTAAACCAATAAATATTTTGCATATCATTTAGTAGAACATGAAATTTTTTGGACATTCAGAACATTTTAAATTTTATCCAGATGACCTTCAAGGAGCTTAACAATCCATTTGTCTCTTACAAAGGAGGATGTCATGCACGATGTCTTACACAAGTATGCTTGGTTGTATTCATTGATGACATATATTGTAGTGGCCAAATTATTGTTTGTTCTATCATATCTATTATTTCATCTTCATTTGATGAATCCATCAGATTACTTCATGCATGTCAAAATAGAAAATAAATAATGAACTGGATAAAAAATGAACAACTAATTTTGAGAGTAGTTACTTGGACAGAAAAAAATATTGAGATTAAATGTAAAAACAAATAGAACTAAAAAAATAATATATAATATAAAAGTCACAAGCACACAAGTACGTATTTTTCAAATGGATGTTAAACTTATTACGAACAAAATACAAGCACAAATAAATACATTGAGCTCAACTGGATTGATTGTTTAAGAAATAACGAAGGTGGTGAATCACCGCTCTTGTATCATTGTTATAAAACCTCCAGCTTTGTTTGGTTTTAAAAAAAATTTGTTGGGAAAAAGTATAATGTCATTTCTTCAAACATTTTGAGAGTGCAGTCTAGTAGCTTATTGACTTCTGCCATCGAAGGATATGTGTGAGCAACTTCTCAACATTGTACATCACGCTGATACAAGCTTTAACTAAATTTGAAATTTGTTCACTTAAAATTTTGTCATTGATGCTTTTTTTTCTTAGGTTGTTTGCTTGGCGGTGCACAATGTTTGGATTGAATGGATTCACCATGTTCTAAATCGTGGGGGCGGGTCCTCGTGAACTTCATTTGAATGAGCATATTCACACTCATTCAAATTAAGGGGAAATGTCTTGTGTTGTTGCCTAAACATTAGAACTCGTAATTATAACACCGAGAAATATCAAATCAACTTTATTCTCCAATTCAAAATATGCCACAAAACGTAAAATATTTTGCATTCGACACTACTCATATTTTAAAAGATCATCATTGAAATGTCACGAAAATATGAACAATTTAAGTAGCAACAACATTTTATCACCAAAAGTTTTTCTCTCCATCACTCATGGGATGCATCTATTTTTTTTATTAGAATTTCAGCCTAATCCAGTTGCTCATCGCTTTAATTCCTTCCATAGTTTTCAGTTTTTTTAGTTGATCCTATTTGTTCTTCGACCGAGTTTTATTAAACAGTCATTTTGCTGCTTTTTTATGAAAATTATTCTTATGTTCTGTTAGCCTTCTTTATTGAAATTTGTTGTGAGCTGTTACCTAATTTGGTATCCTTTAAGCATAAATAAAAAAAAAATAATAATCTTCACCTCCCTCTCCCAACTAGCTGATATTGCACATTTTTTTGTTTTCAAATCTTGTGATCTACAATAAATTGAAGTGTTGTAAAAAATATAGAGAACTTACACTAAACTTTCCAAATATAAATGCGTGATGGTAATAAAAGAAGATAAAATATTGAAAAAACTCACAAATTCAGATTATAAGTAAGAATCAATTAAAAAAAGTGCATTGAAATTTAAAACCGTCAAACAACCAAAGTAGAGCTCAATGAGATCATTTTGTCAATAATTGCTCCATCCTTGATTATTCTTTGCATTCGGTTGTTATATATGTTTACAAACATGGGCTATAAGAATAAAATGCTTAAGAGTGAGATCATATAGTATTTGAGGAGTGTATCATACAAGTTTTAGAATATACAAAATAACAGACAATATTCACAGGCATAATGCTGTTGATTGTTTCGTGTAGGCTCAGAAATACAAAGTAGAAGCAATGGGCTTAGGATTAAGACGAGATATTAAATGTGAGATGGATTTCAACTGGTTATTGGTTGCCAACAAATGATTAAGGAATCCAATGATAATAAAAGAGTAAATTCAGCTTTGTGAATCACAGCTGGTAATCGGTTGAACTATTTCTATTTTTTTTTTCGCATCATAGTTGCACAAGCATATCCAAAATATTGAGATCGAAGCTTTGTGAATCACAACTGGTAATCGATTGAACTATTTGTATTTTTTTTTTCGCATCATGGTTGCACAAAGCATATCCAAAATATTGAGATCGACACCAGCATTATAAAGAACATATGCCGTGCCATTACCATATTAAATAAAATAACGTATTATCATACATGCAGTTGGGGCTGAAAAGCACATAGCAAGCAACATTGAAAATCTTTATCAAGAAAGCTAGTCGAAAACCTCTACAACTCATCATTTTCTATTCATTCTAAAGTTCCATATGATGTATAAAATATATGCATCACAAATCAATCTTTATCGTTGTTACTTAAGCACATGGAATTTGCTTTCACATCATTAAAAAAATAAAGTAAAAAAAAAGAAAATCACATTTTGTCTTCCCACTCAATCATGCTTACGAAAATGGAATCATGTAAGTGCTTCTACGTAATACTCCTCACATTAATCAATCACCAAGACATTGAAAAATTCTTTCATTTGCTCATAAATTGATCAATTGAATTTCACATTTTTTACATAGATTAAGCAACAGAGTTTTTAGGACCACTACAAATGCTTTTTAGAATTTCACTTTTGAGTAACCAACTGAAACACAAAAGAAGCCCTTGACACACCAAAAATCATTATGTTTTCACGAGCAAATAAACAATTCTTTCATATTTCAGATGGATCAATCAACAAAGACGCAATAGAAGCTCTCGTCATTCAAAATGTTTCGTTTTTCACTACCACTTAAAAGTCTTTTATTTAAATTCACATTGATCAACCAACATAGATGCAAGAAAGCTTTATGTACTCAGAATGAATATGATTTTCATGGCCACTAAAAAGTTATTTAGAATATCACATTGATCAATCAACATAAACAGAAAAAAGCCCTCGCCACCCAAAAGATGCATCTATTTCTTACGAGCAACTAGAAATACTATTGTTTCTTACTTAAATAAACCAACAAAAATGCCAGAAAACCTTTGACACATAAAAAATATATTGTTTTTCAAGTGCCACTAAAGAAATCTCGCTTATTCTACATAAATAAACTAACAAAGATGCAAGATAAGCCTTTGAAATATCAAAATATCTTTCATTTTTCACGGGCCACCTATCATTTTCCACAAAAATCAACTTGTAAAGATGTAATAAAAGCTCTCTTCACTCCAAAAATCCTTTCTTATCCCATGGAACAACTAAAAAATCGCTTTAATTTTTACATAACCAATATACGTGTAAGAAAAAGAAAAGCCCTCCATAGAGAAGAAAAGCCCTCCATAGAGATGAAAAAAAAAAAAAAACAACAATTCAATGCTCTACGGAAATAAAGCTAAAAGCCACATGGAGTGAAGAATTGAAGGCAGATGTAGTGATGGGCAAGAAAACGAGTGTGAAACACTCACTGGGTTGCTTTCGATTTTTTATTAGTTATTCGGGTAATTTCACGGATATAACGAGAGCAGCGATGTCATTTTCAATCCTATGTCGTGGGATGTTTGCAGAACACAACCTTCACCCTCTGTTCGTAAATGTTATTTAGCAGCCGCGATTTTACGAAACACACTCGAAAAGGCTTGCCCCAAACACACCCTAAACTGCTTTTTGAAACGAAAAGCAGTTGTAAAGCTGCCCTAAACACACCCTTAGTATTTTTTGTCGGAAAAGCTTGGTTTTTTTTGAGAGCATTTCTCCTTTGTGATGAAGTATACATCAAAATCATAAAAATCATGGAAAAAGTTGGATATCACTGTTTGATTTGGATGCTACATCTTTTTTGTTCTGGACACTCTTGTAGGCTCGAAGTACCAAAACATTAATTATGCTGATTCTCTAATTAGGCCAACAATATACGGGGAAGTATCACATAAATTTATCCATACGTGGCATGTAGAGAGTGAAGATCCATTCCTTGTACTTAAGGGTTGAGTGTTTTTTATTTTCTTTCAATGTTGTAATTATTTGGGATAATTATGCTTATAAAATTGTCTGACCTATTATTTTTAAATTAAATTTGCAGCTTCTTTACTTGACTGGAGTTTGATTTCGCTTATCAATTTGTTGATCTTTTTGGCTATTCAGTTGAGCGCAACAAACAGAGGTATGCAATCTGTCCTTTAAAGTGAAGCTTTCATTAAAAAATTATGATTGCTCTTATTTTTCAGTATGCAATTGCTTTGTTTTTTTCCAGTTTAGTGGGGTATGAAGCTTTTCATACTTTAGATGGTATTTTTATTAGGTTTTCTGCCATTGTTCTCCCTTAGGAGCCAAACTGAAGCAGACAATAGGTTAGCTATCAACTACATGGTTTATGTGGTAGGCCTTTACCACTTCATTCTTGCACATTTATTATGGGGGCACCGATTATGGATGTATGTCTTGAATTGGCAATGGCTAGTCTGCTCACGTTTTGCAACATGCACCTTGGTACAAACCATAGCATGAACGGGATTGGCGCTTCCAAAATTAGTACCAATTGTGGTGAATGACAAAATTTGTAGACTCGGTCTCTTTTCCTCTCCACTCTTTTTCTACGTTTCTCTTCTCCTCTTCCTCCCACCTATCTTTTTCTTTTGTTTCTATGTGTGTATGCATGTCTATTTTTTTGTGTTCCTATCTTAGATCTATGTTTGAATGATATGCTTAGGTTTTGGCAAGCACACGAAAGAGTAGAAGGCAGGCCCGACTTATAGCAGTCAAACCATTTGGAACGGTGTTGGAAATAGTGGAAAGGAACATCTAGCAAAGGATTGATAATAGTTATCATCACATGAAGTAGTGGATAATGTTTCACTACAAATGTAGGGTTAACAAAACCACTAACTTTTCAGAATAAAGTAGCACGGAAGGATTTATAAGGCTGACCCAGATATTTATGGTATGACTAATGATGTTGTCCGTGCTGCTATTGATTATTAACATTGAAAGTTTAATCTTTCAAGGATAAGAGGACTTTATTTAGCTTGTTTTATCAGGAATCATCTCTGTAATTATGCCCAACTGTGCACAGTTTTTTCAAAAAATAGCATTATGGCATGTGTTCTAATAATCTTAGCATCTGTTAATTGGCCGTTAGTTTTTTTCATCTTCAAATTCAGACTTTGTGACTGCAGTTGAGAAGAGTCAATGCAAACGTATTTCACCTTTAATATTTATTTGTTATTGTTAGACTTTCACTAGCTATTCTTGAAGACCTTTATTACAAGAAGGCTCTCATCTTTCACATAAGCATTTCCTTATTTTATACCGGTCTTGCTTTCTTAAAAGTTTTTTATATTCACTTGTACCTCATTTTGGAGATATTTTTGTGTTATAGTTCTACTTTTGTGATGTTATTTTTGGTCACTTTTCTTCAGGATCCAACTTCTGGAGGGTGTATATTTTATCATGGTGTACAATATTTTTTTCATTGACTGCTATAGTAGCTCAGATCGTTTTCAGTATTATTTGGTGCATTGAAGGAAACGATTGGAAGGTAGCTGATAATTGGTGGGCAAAGTTAATCGGTTTTGTGAGGTATGAATAGAATTCCTGGATTGTATGCTAAATTTTTGTGCATAGCCTTGCATCTTGAAATCCATTGTAAATTTATTTAAATTCTTTATCTCTTAAATAAATGTTCAATAAAAAATTATTTTCTTGTGATAATCTCGAGGACTTTTGTATGAGCTAATCAACAAAACTAACTCATTTCATATTTGAAGCATTAGCATTTATCTCTCTTATCAATTCAAGTTACTTGCTTTTCTACTTGATATCGTAAGGCTAGCTTGCCTATGACATCTGTGAGCCACCGTGGCTTTGCATCTCCTTACACCTTTGGCAGAGAACCAGCTCTCCTTGTACCATACAATTAGATATCTGTTATCTTAATTATTAATTAGTGACTTTTTGTGCAATTAAGCATTGGTTAGCTTAAGAATTTATTTAATTTAATGTTTTTTATGATGAGGTTACCTTTAATTAATTGGAATTTATTTACGTGGATGTTTTGCTTCGATGATCTCTTATTAGTATAATTAATCAGCTAAATCAGAATTATTTGCTTCAGTCTTTACTTCACCGATTTACAATTGACATCATCATCAGTGGACTTCTTCCAACAATTCCAAGATATACATTTTCTAGATAGATTGAAATTATTTTTAATTGTATTTGTGGGACTGACATTTAATTTGTTTATTAACTTTATTTATTCTAGGTACTTACACAACTAGATAGATTGCTATCTTTTGCGCGAAGATCATTTTCTATCATCTAACAGATGATACAAAGTTGTAGCCACTGAAAGTAGAAATATCATCAGAATCATTGAATGTGCTTAAATTAGTGATAAAATGTTTCACTAAATCACCTACTTACACAACACCTTCATTTCTCTCATAAAATTGTCATCAATTTTAGGACATGATTCCAATCTACATTCTTCTTAAAGAAGTATTGAAACTAACTGATTGACATATTGTCCACCATAATTTTGATTTCAAGCTTCAATATCAGTAACCTAGGTTTGTTCTCTTATTATAGATTTGTTTTTTGATCAAAATTTTCGAAGTTCCCACTTTTTGATTATGTAAATGTCCAAAATATATTTTTCTTCTCTAAACTTATTTGAGATCATACTAATTCTTTTCCCAGAGTTCATTATTTTGCAATCTTACCTATTTAATTTAACAATTGACTTGAGTTATCTAGAAATAGTTTGGTTAATTTTTAGTATCTGAATTTTAATTTATTTCAGTCAAGTTCTCAATTTATTTTTCTAATTCATATTTCATTATCCATTTGAGAATTATAGCTATGGATCTATCCACAACTTTTAAGGTGAATTGAGTAGAATGTCTTAATTTATTGATTTACTTCTATTAATATGTATAATTTCTATATATTATATATTTTTTTCTAAACATTTCCTTTTTTCCCCATCAAATTGCTTGAAATTGCTATGTTTTGAATGTCATTTCTAAACAATTTTTTTTTTCAATTTTTTTTTGCCTTCTTCCCCAATAGATTCTAGAATTTTAGGTAACACAAGCTGCACAATTTTTTTTTTGTATTTTCTGCGCTAAATCGACTGTGTTAAAAAAAAAAAAAATCTATCACAATCTAATTTCTTGGCCTCATCTTTACCAATCCAAATATTATTCATCCATACTTTAGAAGTGCATTTATTTGTATTTCTATTTGTGCATTTACTTAATCAATTTTATGACAACATAGAGCTTTGGCATTGTGCTCATTTTCTTCTATTTTTACTTTTTTTTTTGAAATTTAAGTTGGTCCTCGTCAAACTTATTCCTATTCACATCTAGTAAATGGTTTAATTTAAGTCAAACTTAGCTAATTTTTCATTTTTTAGTTTTGTTGTTCTTTTAAAATTGCGTTTATCACATCATGTCCGCTTAGTGTAGTTAGTGCTATACCTTGAACTAGTGGCTACTACATCTATGATGTGGATTTCTCAAACTTGTTTTTTTTTTCTTTCTTTATAAAAGTTGCTTTTCAGGGAATTTATAGGTTGAATATTATATGGTGTATCTCTTGCTCTCAATGTTTTATTCATTGTTTTATTTCTTAAACCTGATAGTTCAGACCTTCTATGCAGGATTCAACCATTGGGATCAAGATCCGTAATTTTTTTTATAATCATACAAATGTCTGTTGGGCTTATTGCTTTTGTTGAAGTTCATGGAAACAATTATGATCAAGGTTCATGCTGGTCAAACTTCTCATCAGCTGTTGAGCAAATAGGTTAGATTCTCATAGATTTAGATGTGTAAATTCTCAATGTCTGTCCCATTATTTACCACTTATATGCATTTTGGATAGATAGTTAAATTGTGGAATTTTGTTTTGGTTTGTTTTTTCAACTTATAAACTTCATTATTTCTTCATTTTCTTTTGTAAGAATCTGCTGCTGCTTTTACCTTTTTGATGTTTGATCTATACAAAAATGAGGCATACCAACTCTTGGTAATGTTGTATCATTGCATGCTTTGTTGTACATGGAAGCAATGCCCAACCATCTCTTTTGTTATAATTTTTATGAAGTCTTTTGTTAATAGTTTCAATTAAGTAACGTCTATTTTTTATTCCATATTCTTGTATAAAATTTTTATGATAAACTTTCATATCAATTTCCAGCTAATACTCATCCCGCCATAACTTTGATATCTGGTCACATCACATAAAAACTTGTTTTATTTTGGTACTAAGTAGTTATATTTTATATTATTAGCTTTAGTTTTTTTACAGCCGAACTTTACTCACCTTAATTTTCTTATATCATCTTTGGACAATTGAAAACTTGAGATATTTTTTGGAGTTTTAATATATGCTTGGTTTCATAAATTTTCTTTTTCTCTTTGAATATGTCTTTTTGCTACAAATCCTCTGCATTTTTTTGTCTAATAAATTGATTAATTTTAATTATAGCAATTATATTGTCATACTCAAGGTTCTATGTGATGCTATCTGTACGTTTGAAAAGCATCTAAACCTTTTTTATTCTTATTTAGCGTAGCAACTATCTGTTATTATTTTCTAATGTCGTGTTTTCTTTATTTGTGCAACATAAAAGGTTCTTCTATGAGGATTGCATGCTGCTTATTACTGCCAGCCATCCAGCTAGTTGTTGGAATCAGCCACCCCTCGTGGATTTCTCTTCCATTCTTTCTTTGTAGCTGTGTTGGTCTTGTTGATTGGTCCCTAACAAGCAACTTTCTTGGACTTTTTCGGTAAGTTTTCATGGTGTATTTCTTATACATCATTCATGTAATTGCGATGAATTGTTTATCAATTTCTCTGTTTTAATTGAATGTTTTACAGCACCCTTTAATCTTTACTGACCTATATATCTATATTTTTTATTGAAAGGTGGTGGAGACTTCTTCTAGTTTATGCGTGCTTCAGCATTTTTCTGTTCTCTATCTACCAGCTGCCGCTTCAGCTTCCAGCTATGGCTATTGCAGTCGCTGATTTCATTGGACTATACAAAATAGATACGAACTCAGAGTTTCCAGAGCTTTGTTCTATCATTTCTCTTTTCATTTTCTTTTTCATGGTATTTTGTCTCTTCAATTTGTTTTTTTTTTGTTGCTGTTGTTTAGTATTGATATTATTCTGATAGTGATGAGGTATATAATATATATTCTTCATTATTGAATTGCCTTCAAAATTTTTTGAAGTATTTCCACTTACCAGTATACAAGATTTTAGACATTATGCCAAGCTGTACTGATTAGATCAGAGGCCATAGAATTTATGATTTCTTAGTGTAATCTATACTTTTCGAATGTTTTCTTGAGCTAGTGATTCTAAACTATTATCCCCTTGTTCTTGCTAGTTGCTATTTACCGCTCTTTGCTATTCTACATTGAAATCGTTATTTGTTTCTAATTATGGATATTACAATTATGGCTAATTTTTTATTTACTTTTTGATTTGAGTTTGCATTTTTTATTTGAACTTGAAATGGTTTTAATTGTTTAGACTGTAAGAATACTTTTACATAAAATATAATTTTTTTATGTTTTAAGTATTTCTGAATAGGTTCGCTGATTATTAATGTTTTGAAGACCACAATTGATTTGCTTAAGCTAATCTAGCCAATCATAGTTTCAAAAAAACCTATGCATATCTTTTTTTTTAAAATGCGTCGATTTGATAAACTTCGAGAAGAACCCAATTACTGTGTTATATTGTTGCTCTCAATATGTTTTGGAGCAACTAATTGTTTACCTCATTTTCGGTGAGGTCTAAATTCTTCTCCTAGAACTTAGAATATAGTCATAGGACTTTTCTACTAACTCTCATAGAGGACTAGTGGTGGGAGCCACCCCACTTAGAAATTTGAACCGCTCTTCGACTCCCCTTAAGTCTCATATATGTGGTTTCAAATTTTCAATATATAGTTGAGTCGATTCGAACCAACATGTTGAAAGTTAAGACGAGTTCCTATAAGAATTGAAAATGCACTATGAATAGCTTTTGGACTTAGGAGCTTTCGTTATTCGACACACCACAATTTACACAATACACATAAACACCATAACACATAAACACCATAATAATCCACACATAATTCACTATCTAAAATCAAAATCAAATTTAAAATCGAAATGGAAGCCGTCGTGACGTGAATTCGAGACCTTTCGACACAGGTTGACAAACTCGTCGTCGAGACCGTTCTGCTTGACATTGGTCACCGTTTAGGCAAGGTCCGGTCGACATTTCGCTTGGCAGAGGACTCCGATCGGCTCGACGAATCACATTTACTGCACTGTGCGCTGGCCGAACTCAAATTGACTCGATCGTCAACGACCTTGTCTAGATGATCCCAGATGATAAAACGGACCGTGCGAGCATGTCCTGGACGTCAATTTTACTCGAAAAGGACACCCATATTGTTATGGTTTTGCGCACGAGCAAACAACACAAAAACCGATGCATATAAAGAAAAGGAGGCGGGTTCAGGATCATTCCGTGTTCAACTCGGGCTGAACACGTCCCAATTTAATGAGGTCAAGCCAATAACGCGGTTCGTAATTTGAAATTTCAAATTTCAAATAAACCACTCAATCTCGCCTTCATTGAATTTAATTAGAAATTATTATTTGCCAAATAAAACTGCTCCACGAATGGAAATCAATTAATCGCTCGCCTAATCTTCCGTAATGTCTCATGTGAAAATCAGGTATAAAAAATCGTGCCTCTCACAGCTCGTCGGCTCACTCCACCGAAAGCCCGCCTTCTCTCTTCCTCGCGACCAAAGCCCGCACCCCTTCCTCTCTCGACTCCCTCTCGCTCCATCGAAAACCCTTACCCGCTTGACCCCTTCCGCAAAAGCCTCACCAGTTCGACTGTCCTCCCTGCCTCCCTTTCGTCCCGAGATTTCTTCGGTTCTTGGAACCGCATGCGAAGAACTTCTTCCTTGTGGGCTAACAATCATGCATTAGTTTACAATCAACTGGACTAAATTAGGGATTTTAATCTGTCACCTTAAAATCCCCAATTCTTCATCCAACAAAGTATATTTTCCTATTTCTTTGCACTCAACTCCATGGATGACATCTATGTTGTAGAAATCACAACCCTTTCGGAATATATGTTTCTCAACACATTTTAACATTTCAATTGGCTAGATCGAAAAGTAAATGAAGATCGAAGTTCAAATCATCACAAATTTTTGACATTTAAAACCTTATAAAATAAAATCAATTCTTCTCAAAACCTTATTTCAAAATATGGATAATGATAAAAAAGAGTACTCAAAATTCTTGTGAAGGATACAACAAAACACGAATTTCATATATAAAAACAAGTTTACAAAATAAAGAAATAAAAGAACATAACTTATCTCACAATCCTTCCCAAGCAAATTCCTGAAAGTTCTCTTCAAGCACCTTCTCTCTTTACAAGCACTCTCAATTATCTCACATTCCCTCTCCTCTTACAATCCTTGAATAAAATCTCAAAGCCCTTGACTTTCTCTCTCTGTCTTGCCTTCTTCAAGCTCTCTCCCTAATAAAATCTCAAAGCCCTTGACTTTCTCTCTCTGTCTTGCCTTCTTCAAGCTCTCTCCCTAATAAAATCTCAAAGCCCTTGACTTTCTCTCTCTGTCTTGCCTTCTTCAAGCTCTCTCCCTCGCGCCTCTCTTTAGCTCTTTTACTCCACACACATGCCCTAGACTTCCCTCTCTTTTATTAGAGGCTGTCTCCCTCCAAATTGAATTCAAAATTCAATCCAAAATTATATCTAAAAGTCAACTCTTTTGAATTCAAAAGACATGTCTATTGATCCAAGAGACATATCTCTTCATAAAAGAACATTTTGAAGTGTTTAGATACATTGAATCACTTCATGGGGTGTTTAGAACAAGTATCCCTTTCGAAATTTGCGCAAAATTCTTCCCGTACCCCCTTAATCCACAAAAAATTTTGTCTGGTGTTTTAGGCGCAAATTTGCTTAAGACTGCGCTGTTCTGGGTTTTGATGCTTTAGACGCCAAATCTGACGCTTCAGGCGCCAACTTTCTATAAAATGGCGCTTCAGGCATCAGTTTTCTGTAAAATGACGGTTCAGGCGTCAGAATATCAAAATTTGCTATTTTGGCTCCAAATTTCGTCATTTTTGTTATTTTTATTCCAAATACCTAAAATTGATATACCTACAATAAAAACATAAAAATACTCTTCTTTAAAGTGAAATATCACAAAAAATAAGCATAAAATGTATACTTAAATCAACACATTATTTTGGTGTATCAAGGATGAAAATATTATTTATCGACACTAGATTAACAATTATCTTTTGCTTTTTTAGGCTGCAGGTAGTTCTAGCCTGACGATGTAATCGACTTGTGGACAATTCAATTTATATAATATTTAAATGCAATGCCAAAACAAATACATTCTTTATAACATCAATACTTTTGATCGCTAAATAAACATCTATTTGCTCATATGCATGATAAATCATGAACTTTGAATGATACAATTTAAATGTTCATTTGTCAGTTACTTGTATTGGTCAAGAATTGCCCTCTTTTGATTGTCTTGCAGAAAATTTATAATTGACTGTCAGGCTTTATATGAGTAGATTTCCTATGGTTGTCTACGGAATCGTTCGGGAATGATAAATTTGAGTCTACCCTGAGCTTGAATTCTTACGGTCCACGCTTCAATTTTCCACATGTGCCACCCAATCTGCTTTATATACTTCTGTTTTCTTTATGCTGTTATTCAATTCTTTGTACATATATGCATGATATATTTATAATACTAACTCTTGTGCATCAACAACAGACATGCCAACTACGTAAGTTTATCTTGTATTTACTGCATTTTACCATCTTTACTGCACATTCTATGTTTTTTACTGCACTTTTATTGTTCTTTCATTCCTGTATTTGCTTATAAAACTTGCAATGACTTTTAGGGTAGAGAACAGTAGACTAGTTGTTTAGGAGGTACACTGCGACGGGCCACCGACTAAACAAATTTGCATGCTCACACAGAAAACCCTAAACCCGGAGTCGCTACGTTGCGAAGCTCGGAGCAATCTTGGTGGGCAAGGCAGACAAGTGCAGAATCATTTCAAGAGACTCAGCACATGAGTGGATCTACTCTAACTAAACCATTCCTTAGGTTTAAACAAACAACAATTCATAGAACTTCGAGGTAGCTCGCCCAGTGCGACGTAAATTCTTACACCTTCTTTAGGGCGCTTGTACAACTGTGTTGTGCAGTATAAATCCTAACTCGCCTTAGGCTCTGAGGTTGTCGTTCGGGACGACATAAACCCTTCTATCTCAACGAGTTATTTGTATTATCGATTTTTAAGCAAGTGTAAGTTTCAAATAATAAAATTGACAGAAATTAACACTTAAATAACATTGTCTCCAAAACGCAGCCGCACACTAAGATTGTTTGGGAAGTCACTGAGATTCTTCTCAGAATTCGTGACGTCCTCTACATTTTTCTTCTTTTGGACTCCTGAAATAACTGCTCCCATTTTGTTCTTTCCCACTTGATTTTTCGAGATCTACCATAAAAACTTAAATATTGAATTTTTGAAGACTAGTATATCTGATTATTATTGAGAGTTTTTTCAAGTGACCTCGGTCGTTTGAGATGTAATTAACTACTGGGGCTTGTCCTTATAAGGAACTTGAAACCAAGATAAAAATAAATCCTATTTAATCTTTTTATTAGATAAGGGAGCTTGTATGTCACAGACAAAAGGTTCATAGACTAAGCGAATGTCACAAATCTCTTAGTTTGCATGATTGAATACATCGCTGAGGGGTACACTTATCTTTCGGGAATGTTTATTATTCGTGGTATCAGACACAATTATGTAAACTATTAGACGAATGAGATCATTTGGTCTCATTTTTCAAAATTAAAGCACCTATTTTAATAATAAAAAATTATATACTTTTTATATTAAATTAAATTATTTTTTTTAACCATAAAAAAAAGTTGACCAACACTGATATACTTATTTCTATGGCATACAAAAACCTTAGAAGCATGAAGACATCATAAGAAAATGAAGTCAT